GATGATGATGCTAAGAAGATAACTGTGTTGAATACACACAAAGGCCTCTTCTGCTACAACCGCTTGGCTTTTGGCATTGCCTCAGCGCCTGCGCTGTTTCAGCGGCGCATAGAAGCCGTGCTGCAGGGTATACCAGGGGTGAAAGTTTACCTGGACGACATTATTGTAGCAGAAAAAGAGTATGACACAACGATACTGCGGCAAGTGTTCGAACGACTTCGGGCGAACGGCCTAACACTGAACAAGGAGAAGTGCCACTTCCGGGAGAAAGAAGTGGTATTTCTAGGGCACCGAATCGATGCAAAAGGCCTCCACCCACTGCAGGACAATTTGGAAGCAGTGCTAGCGGCACCGCCACCGACTTCGGTAAGCCAGCTTAAATCATTCTTAGGACTGGTCACATACTATTCCAAATTTCTACCGAACTTGTCGTCCACTTTGGCCCCGTTACACCGACTCTTGTCTAAAGGAGCACTGTGGTGTTGGGGGCCCGCACAGAGAACAGCATTCCAAGAAACCAAGCGCGCCATGAGAAGGGCGAACTTTCTTGTGCATTACGACCCCCAAAGACCCTTGCGGCTTGAGTGTGATGCGTCGGCCGAGGGTATAGGCGCAGTTTTGTCGCACCGCATACAAGGAGTGGATCATCCCATAGCGTTCCGCTCGAGAACTCTAACGTCGGCGGAACGTAATTATTCACAATTGGAAAAGGAGGCACTAGCGCTGGTCTTCGGCGTTGTAAAATTTCGAGATTATTTGTTTGGCAACAAGTTCACTCTGGTGACCGATCACAAGCCTCTGACTGGTTTGCTAGGTCCAGATAAACCCATTCCGCAAATGGCAGCGGCCCGCATTCAACGTTGGGCGCTGCTCTTAGCAGCTTATCAATACGACTTGGAATACAGAAAAGGAGAGCTAAATGCAAATGCCGACGCTCTAAGCCGGTTGCCATTACCGGTTCGCGATAATGGCTGGGAAAATGAACTAGCCGAATATGTCCTGCATGCGCAGGCTATGGATGATTTTGTTTTGTCTGCGCAGAGTATTTCAGACCACACCAGCAAAGATGACGTACTTCAGCAAGTGAAGACTTGGATCTTGCAAGGCTGGCCAAGGCGTCTCGGTTCAGAGGAACAGCAGTACCAACCGTATTTTGCACGGAGGCATGAATTGGCCGTGAGTAACGGGATACTCTACTGGGGCCACCGTGTGGTTCTGCCTAAAGCTGCCCGGCAATTTGTTTTGAAAGAGTTGCACGATACGCACCCAGGCATGACGGCAATGAAGAACCTCGCGCGCTCAATTTTCTGGTACCCAGGGCTAGACGGTGAAATTGAAATGCTTGCAAAACGGTGTCCCCAATGCGTGCAGTGTTTGCCCATGCCCCCAGCGCAGGTCCCGGCAAACTGGCCAAAGAACAACAGACGGTGGTACCGCCTACACGTGGATTTTGCTGGTCCCGTGGAAGGGCATATGATCTTCGTCCTCGTCGACGCCGAGACTAAGTGGATCGAAGCAGTGCCCTTGAAGACGGCGACAGCAGCGACTACGGTAGACACACTTAGGTGCATTTTCGCGCGATTTGGCATACCACGGACTGTCGTGTCGGATAATGGTCCGCAATTCACCAGTGCAGAGACAGCGCGGTTCTTCCGGGAAAATGGGGTGCGCCACGTAACGACGGCCCCATACTACCCGCAATCCAACGGTTTGGCGGAACGGGCAGTACGCACCATCAAGGAGGGCCTGAAGAAAAATCGGGTGGGAACGCTGCAAAGTCGGCTTGCCAAATTTTTGTTGCGTTACAGGACAACACCGACCCGAGAGGAGCAGTCGCCCGCGGAAAGGCTTTTTGGATTCCAACCACGGACCCGCCTGAGCACCTACCTGGCAGAGGAAGACGGGGCGAAGAGGGAGGCTACCGTCAACGGAGTTCCGAACTCTGGAAAGAAAGAGTTTGCACCAGGAAGGGAGGTGTGGAGTCGACAGTACAGTCAGCTAGGTCAAAGGTGGCTACCCGGAACCGTGACAACAGTCGAAGGCAAGCGATTGTTAACCGTTAACACGCCAAGGGGGGTGCAACGTAGACACGTCGATCAAGTACGACCACGCGACTCGTCGACACCGGTTAAGAAAGAACCGTGCGAAACGCCAATGGCCATGGAGCAATTGCCACTCTCATCCAGCGGCATCCAGTCAACTAGCAGCGAAGCCCTTCAGGCCGGTCTGTCCGAGCCTGGTGAGGAAGCGTCTGGCGGTGGCATCGAGCCAGCAAGTCCAAGGTCCACGGCAGAACCACTCCCACTCCGACGCTCCACCCGTGCCCGCAAGCCGCCGGATAGGTTCTAGCTCAGAGGGGAGGAAGTGATATATCGTAGATTATCAGGTGCACGCGCCGAAGAACATACCGATAACACGTGCCTCCACCCCTCGCCACGGCGCATGCTCCGGCCTCGGGCCAGGGTATTAAAACCAAGACAGCAGCCTCGTGAATAAACATTGTTGTTCCTTCTTGTTCTGGCCATGCATCGTCTTATTCTTCGCCCTTACGATACTACACTATCAAGGTACAATTACGAGTTCCTGTGCTACTCAGTCAGTTGGAGAATAAGTTTCGCGTCCCGCAAACAGGCCAGATGACATCCGATTGGTTACGCAGAAGAAGTGCCATCGGCATTATTTTTTGGGGGTGAGCGGGAGGGGGGTGTCACCCTTTACAATCCCTTTTTCTTGAATGTGACATTTACAGGGGTCCTTAAACTGGGTCCCAGAAGGATGTATTAGAGTCCAGCAAGTGCTGAGGACTAATGCCATTACACCCAGTCTGTTTTCTTATTTTACAGTTTTGCATTGTACTTCAAACTTTATGAGCCACCACATGCTGCAGTTATGAGCAACAAATTCCCACGGCAGTGCTGCTCAATGTTCATCAATTTGGTATTTCCGAATAAACGGTGGCTGCGGTGAGCACACTTGCAAGCGTAGTTATGAACAAGTGCGGGAGGGAATACGTTGGAAATATTTGCAAGCTGGGAAGGCTTTGACATTTTTTTGCCAATTTTATTTATTCATTTAAGTTATTTATTCAGATACCTACGGTGTCCAATGGTCATTATTGTAGGAGGGAAAACAAAAAAGAATACATTACAGGTGGTATAGAGCATCAAAGGTGACATAACAAGATCAGCAATACATTTAAGAGAACAGATGACGTGACACGTACATTCTGAACTAATTGCTCGAAAAAATATATTGAGACAAACCAAGAATAGTACATTACAGTATAACTACAAAAAGCAAAAAAAAAGTTGAACGCCACATGGAGGCGACGCGATGCCTATTGGAACAAAAATACGATTGAGGATAACAACACCAGCTGATTGCTATAACAACGTTTATAAAGCATGAGAGCACTTGTTCTTTATTCGTGCCTGACTGCACGGCTCAGTTTCTACGAGTGCTGGCTTGCTACAACGTTACATCGGTTTCGCAATTAAGACGCGCCACAAGCAGCAGTCGCACCAGATCGTGCCAGATGCTCTTTACAGGAGCATGTGGGCTTAGCTTTACTGTTGGCACACCGAAAAATGTTACGCAGCACGATTAAGAATTGTGCTCTTTTTTTTGCAAATTATCAAACTTTTGCACTGCAGAATCTTCATTTGCGTGATGACGTCGTTTACAGCATGCAATGCCAGTTGCCCCTTGGCTGCTGTGGCTACATTACAGTGCACACAGTGACTCGCAAACGAAAAAAGATAACTCTTCTACATGCTATTGCAAGTTCCCTAACAAATAAGAGAGATTGGCATTTAGGATGACTGCCAGTTGGGCGTGTTGGTAAAGGTTCATGATGAAACAAGCGCAAAAATACACACACTATGACAGGACACACACTGTGTCCTCTCTGAGTGTGTGTATTTTTGCGCTTGTTTCATCATGAGAGATTGGCATGCTAAACTTTCAACAGAGACATGTGGTGGCACAGAGACTTCGTTAGGCTCAGTACAACGATGAAAAGCACATCGCTGGAATGAAGTGAGGGCATCGGCGGCACTATAGAGAAGCTTTAGCTGTGTTTGTTTCGACCAAGATTAGGTTTGGCCCAATGCTATGTGAACATAAATGGGTCGATCCCTTGTAAACAAATGAACAAGTGAACTTGGGCAAAGTTGGCGGACACTGAAATCGAATGTGCACAGCAAGGCGCAAGGATATGAAATAGTACCAAGTGGCACAATTGGTGCAGTTGAACCACCACTGGGAAAGGGCTAGACTACGTGCACAACAGGATTTTCATGTTATTGATGTCAGGACCAGACAGTCATATTGAACAAACCCCCTTTCACTCTCGTGCCATTGTTGGTCCACATAAAGTTAAGAAGGCAATCAGGAAAGTGCCTGGATGTAGCAGCTAGATAGACAAATAGATATGTAGATATTTATTTGGCCTGTGAAAATGGACTAAAGTAAGACACACGGACATAGACAGATGCGCTACATCTGTGAGTGATTCTGTCTGTGTGTCTGTGAGCCTTCCTTTAGTAAGGCTTTCTTTATGGCCAACCGAAGGAGAGCAGACAGTCCTTTTACTATGGGAAAATTACAGCCAATGTAGCTACATATGGGCCCATGTGCAATTCTCATGAAGGAATAGAGTCATCGGAACAAACATTTAAACCAGTGACCAATAGATGGCTCATGACTGGACCCACTGTTGGGCACACGCTTAACCTTTTTCCTTTTCTTTTTTTGCTGTCTCTTTATCGTATACCTGATCATGATATTTTTCCTGTCAATATCTATGTGTATGTTTAAGATGAATATAGGCACTTTCAAGTCGGATGAGACTTTGTGACGAAGAGGTTAGGCTATAGCAATAGGATATTCACTCAAATAAAGCATAGCAAATCAAATTTTAGTCTGATATGATTGTATGCAGATTCGTTGAACATTTATGAAGGCTTGGATTGACATGAGATTAGCATAATCTGACTTACAGGGTCACTGTGTGTTCCAAGGACTAAAGCACTTGATCGCTGAGATAAGTTTCGAGAAGGCTGCTCAGCAGCTTCAAGAGAAGCCTCGAGCCCAGACAAGGTGGCAGACTTTTTTTCTATAGAACTCCTCCGCCACTGGAAACTGAAATGACAAGACACATGTATTGACATGTGAATATATAGTACAATCAAATACAACTACTGCAAAAAAAATGTAAACGGACCTTTAATATATACTGTCATAATACGATCCACCCAGAGCTGCCAGGCAGTAAATACAAAATTAGTCTAAAAATTGTTTACAAAAAAAAAAAACCACAAGAAGAAGTAGTTTACTTGAACAGAGGGCTGTAAAAGTAGCCTCGCATGTGTGAAAACAACTGCAATGTTTTTATATACAGTTCAACCCCTTCATAAAAGGCGTGTACCGGGGGGAAAGAGGGGGGGGGCGAATTTGGTCCTTTATATGAGCTATCTTATAAATAGAGTACTACGTATGCGTTTTCTCATGAACACCCATTTCAAAGTAGTCACACTGGCGTCTCTCATACCTATTTGTCCCTTACATCAGTGTCTTTTATAAAGGGTTCCGACTGTAAATGACTGAGTGCTTTTCTGACTTTTTTTACATTTTGTACTGACTTCTTTACATTCATGCCAAAAGTGATAGTAATCATTGGAATTTAGCATCTCAAAACCCCCATATGATAACAAGAGATGCCGTAGTGGAGGGCTCCGGAAATTTCGGCCACCTGGGGTTCTTTAATGTGCACCTAAACCTAAGCACATGGGCCTCAAGCATTTTCGCCTCTCGAAAATCTGGTCGCGGCGGCTAGGATTCGATACCACGACCTGCGGGTCAGCTGCTGAGTGCCACCGCGGCGGGTTCCATGCCAAAAGCCAGTTTCACAACAAAGGCAAAGCAATGAATGTGACAGCAACAAATAACAGTATTATAAGAAGTAAGGTTAGCAACCCACTGTTTTAAGAAACACAGATGTTGCGGTGAGCCAAGTGACCTTCATGCCGTCTCTGGCTATAATGCAAACTGCGTGATGAGAACACAATGCGTACAAAAGCATGAACAATCTGCTGATCCCCTGTGAAGTTAGCCGCAACCCTGAGCGACAACACCCAGTTGGTCAAAGTACACATTTCCTGCCCCCCACCCCCACCTTCCTGCTCCTTTCTCCAGGTGGCTTACGTGCAATTGAGAATGCCAGCTCATTTCATCTCTGCCTGAGCGGCATTCAGCAGCACTTGTGTGCTTTCACCCACAGATAGAACATACGTAGACTACCTTTAAGACAAACTCCCTGCACTGCCGAAAACTGACTTCACTAAGAAACACTCTCATTCATTGAGTGTACGCACGATTTCATGAGGGCAGCTTTGATGCAAGAAGTTGCAATCCCATTCTTTACTATCTTCGAATGTGCCAAATGATAGCTCAGCAATGGTTTTTCTGATCTAGGGCGGTACATCCAACACGTGTGAAAAGGAGACAAATTAATTTTTAGGTCCAGAAACTGAATGCGTCGTTCCTTTGGCGCCTCAAAGGTAAACTGTACACCACACCCATTTTTTCTAAAAGCTTTTAAAACAGTCACTAACGTGCTCATACCCGGATCGTTTTTTACCAAAACAAGGTAGTCATCTACAAATCTAAACAGCTTAGTGTCGTGTCTTTCTTTTATTATAATGTTTTCTCCCTTGTCATATTTTTTTTTAGCAGCAGTTACAGGGCTAGACTGAGGTTAGCTGTTGCTCATAGCAGTGTAATTTTAACAGCATGGGTGACACCCAGTTGCCTTTGCAGACCGGTAAAGGGCGAATTTAGGAAAGGGAGATGTGGGCATTGGGGCTAGCCCGCCGTCAGTGCACGGGCCTTGCCGCCTCTTTTTGCATTCTCATGTCCTGACATAACTCTCCCCTTCTCCGCGATCTGTCGCGCTGGGTGAGCGAGAGTCACAGTAACCCCTCTCATCCGGTAGCGAAATCGACTGTGGCGCCATGCGCAAAGTCTCTCGGGAAGTTTTGCGCGCGCCAGGAGTGAGAAAGATCTCTCCGGGACGACATAGGGCGAGCACGCATTTCTTTTCGTCCATCGGCTCCTATTGTTCGGGACTCATCAGACTTTGCCAACGGCGCCTCGTGCCCGTGGCGAATGCTCACCTTTTGTTGCCCCTTTTGAATGCTAGGCTTAAGAGCGATGCGGTGTCTTTGCACGTGGTCATACTACACGATGAACGCTGAAAAATACTGGTTTTTTCAACAATCAGTGACTTATTTGAGCCACACAGTGACCGCAGAAGAGATTTATCTCACAGAAGCAAAAATCAGGGCAATTGTTGACATGCCTGAGCCCATCAATGTCAGCAAACTAAAAACTTATTTACTCAACTTAACTTTTACTCAAGGTTCTTGAGAAGCTGTGTTACCATTGCTGAGCCACTGTATCAGCTGTTAAAAAATGATAAGAAATGATTGTGGGCGAAGGAATGCAGCGATGTTATTGCGGATACAAAACAAATGCTCGTTAGCAGCACTCATGTCATTGACAGTGACAAACAGATAGGAGTGCTTTGCGACGAATCTTCCTATGGGCTAGGCATAATCATATTTCATGAAACTTTCAATGAAGAAGAAAGGCCTATCACGTTCGCTTCGTGAACCCTCGCAGTTGCGGGAAGTGAAGTACGCACAGAGTGAACGAGAAGTGTTGGCATTGATATTTAGTTTTAAAACGTTTCAATGCTATCTTTATGGTAGAGACTTTCCAGTTCACACAGACCAACAGCCACCACTTAGCATTTCGAGGGAAGAAAAACCTATACTAATGTTGGCCGCACTGTGCATGCAACGCTCGGCATTGACTTTTGCAGCGTACATGGCGAATTTTGGCTGTTATTCCTGAAGTTCTGAGGCATTGTGTGCTTGAAATTCTGTATAATAAACATCTTGGAGTAAAAGTCGTATGAAAATGCTACTGCCACAGCTTTGCGTGGTGGCCGGGAATTGACTTAGCCATAAAACATTACACAAAGGAGTGCAAAATATGCCAGGCAGTGAACCTGCAACTCAGTTAGCACCACTTCAACCATGCAGTTATCCAGCTAATGTCGGGCACGCATCCATGTAGAATTTACACAAACCTGTTGGCAAATGTGCTTTTTGTCCTTGTTGATGCCTATCTAAGCAGGTTAAAGTGTGGCCAATGCTCTCCACTTCAATAGCAAAGACAATTGAAAAGCTTTGGAACGCTTTTGCAGCTTGTGAATTCCCAGAAGCAGTAGTAAGCGACAATGGGCCACAATTTATCTCTGCCAAGTTCCCGGATTTCATGGCCACCAACAGTGTGAAACATATTTCCACTCCCCCTTGTCATGCAGCTTCAAATGGTGCAGCCGAACGAACCGTGAAGACCGTGAAACGTGCTCGGACAAAGGACTGTTAGAAAGCAAATTGTCAGGTACGTATAATTATATATTTCTAGGAAAACATTGATAGCTTATTGATGACATACCGCAACACACCTAACAGCGTAACAGGAAAAAGACACCCACCGAGCTTTTGCTTAAAGGGAAGCTTAAGCGGTTTTTGGATTAGTTGAAACTTCGTGGGTAGCAAGTACCAGCAATACTATCGACAACATTGTGATTGTTTCTGAGATTGAAGCATCAAGGTATTTATAATATACAAATGAAAACTCAGACCTGTCTTGTTCTCACAAGCGTTAAGAGAGCATTGGCCAACCGGTACAACCAGGTACCACGCCATGCTCGGTTCTGTGATTCCGTCGGTGCAGCCTGCTAAGCTGTTGCGGAGGGTTCTCTCTACTAATTGATTCTGGTGCACACTGTTTATTCATCGTACAGTTTGTTATTAGTTAAACAGGCACACACCAAGGTTTCGACATTACTATACAACTGAAATGCTGCCTTTTTGTACAGCATACAACTGTGTGAACATCAACAGCTGTGACAATGTCATATTTCACTGCTTCCCAAAGGAGAAGAGGCTTGCCGTTCAGTAGGTTGCAGCAGTGAAAAGAAAGGACTTTGTTTCTATAGTGCGCAGCATGATCCCCTCAAACAATTTTTGGGACGCGAACTATTACCACGGCCTCTCGACAATGAGATTACTGGGAACTCCCTGAAGTGCTCCAGGCTCATGCCTGGTACAGTTCCTTCAATGTTTTCTCACACGTCCACATCACCACTGCCGAGAACAGCTTTCTCCGGTAATTTATAAAAAGTGCAAACTTCTGATTAGTGATGTGTGCTGATGCGCTTGGAATATTTGTGCAGCTCATTCGTGCTCATGTGTCTGGTTATCGTGTTCCGCACACATGTATCTCATGCTAGCAAGCGCTTTTGGTTATCCCTATATGAGGAAAAGCCATTGCTTTTGCAGCCTCTACTCTCTCCTTCTAGCTATCTTCTATCCTTTCTTCTACCGGTATCATCTTTCTTTCCTCATAGCCCATCCCCAAAGATACCGAGCCATGCCTCTACGACGGGAGGCAGGAAATAGCACCCTTTTATTTTCTTTTTCGAAATGCTGTCTCTCTCGCCTATACCTATAATGGTACATGCGAAGGTGCGGCACGCACCCTGTCGTGTCCTCCTTTGGCAGGTGTAGTGTTAATCGATATAACCCCTAATGTCATTAAAAAAAGAGTGCTTCAGCTTCCCGACAGCCACGCATAAAACTTACATTGCTAAAGCCAGACTTTTTAAATTCAATGCACACGAAGCAGCATAAACTGAAATAGCAGAGAAATGTGCACTGCAGGTTCATCTGCAGGTGCATCATTCTTTCGTCTGATGTAGGTGATAAAGTATTTGTGAGCGTGCCCGATAGGAGAAAGGTGTGGTGCATCAAGTAGTAAGTGCAGTGACATACGTGGTGAAAGTGAGCGAACAGCTATGGTTTACGTATGCCAACCCTATGCGACCACGCCATGCCGATTCGATACCAAGCCTTCAGAGGGAGGGGAAGGCCAGAGTGTCTACCGATTTGATATCTCTGAATTCCCTGACATTTCCAGGTTTTCCGTGATGATTAAAAGCAAATTCCATGACCGCCACGCCTGCTTGGAAAACTATGTGCACTTGAAACAAACCCTTGAGTGGTAAAAAAAAATCACGCGCTCCACATAAAATAAGTAATCATATTTACCAGACGCACTCAGAATGTCTTGAGCGCGTGCGGTAAATGTGACAAAATATGTATATCTGGCCAAAATAAAACCCTTAAGTCAGGCAGTGAGGAAGTCAGCTGTTTGATGTTCGGAAGAACCACGAAGCAAACGCACCAGTTAAAGGCCAACTGTAACAAATTTTGCACTCCGCAAAAAGTCAATATATAGGTAGTCTAGGTAGAGGTAGTGCTGCCTGCCAAATGTTGCCTTCGAAATACAAATGCTTACCTTAGAAAAAAACTTGCAAACTACAGTGTTTTTGAGACCGAAACTAGAAAAAACGATGCCATTACAGCTGACAGAAAGTGATGTGAATGACAAAAAAATCGTCTGCTCTGCGCTCCGCGAGCATGCACATCGCGGACGTGCCCCTTAGTGTGTGTGTTTTTTCTGTGTTAACTTTAGAAAGCTGCGTGAACATGTCTTGTTGAACACTGGTCTGGGCTTCCCACTGGTGGGTTTGCAGTGTCTGACCCCCGTATTCAGAAATACTGCTCGACTTGAGCTTGACTTGCCGTCGACTTCAATGCAGCACAAACGCATTTCGAAGAAGGCACTGTCTTTTGGCTGTGCCAAGGCAGCACAAACACACAGACGGGTTTCAAACGTGCTGCATTGAGTCAGCCACTCACGGACGAGCGTCACGCAGGAGGGAGCGATTCAGCAAGCACGGAAGCTTGCTCACAAGGAGCGACGCGGCGACGTTCTGTAGTAATCGTCATATCCTGTTCTTTCGGATTCGCCTGGGCACACCACCAGAGCTCCGCGTCATCTGGTTGCTGGCCACTAGAGCACCAATTACAAATTAAATATGCGACTGCAAGATTTTTCACTGTCGCTATCGTAACTTATCGTATATATACTACGTTTTTATGACCGTTTACGCCCAAGTAAAATTTGTTGCAGTTGGCCTTTAAGAGTAGCCACAGATGAAAGTTTGAAGGAGCCTGCGATAGTCTGACATCGTAGTCAAAGCTGCAAGGAATCATGTAAGTGTTGCCATCTCGTGGCATCCATGCAAAATGAGGACACGGGAGCCTGGCAGGTTCTGCCACTGGAGTATAATCTAGTTCACTATAATGGTTGTAGACCATGCTGTTTTGGATGTGGATTGGATTGATTTGAATTAGATCGACCTAAACTCTGTATTTACTGACTGCCCTATTTAGGATATGAATTGCATCACATATCATTCGACTTGGATTGCTGCATTTACTACTGATTTGCATTCTCGCCTAATTTGCACACCTCTAACCTATACTTTTTTGCAAAAAAATGAGTAACTACTACTCACATATTTTGTGTACCTTGCTTTGACGAGTAACGACAATGTTGCATGAACAGAGCTGTACTGCAAAATTTTCATTCTTTCTTTCTTTTTCCGATGAGCACATGCATGTTTGTATTTTGTGTCTCTGGACTCTGCCGCTTAAAGTGCAACGGAAGTGCTCGTACGGCTGCAATGAAAGCTGGGGACGGTGCTTAAAGTGCCGACATTTTTAATATGTGATGGCAAGAAGGAATCTGTCAAGTTGCAACATCTGCCTTAATTCCAGAGATGAATCACGGATGTTGGCACTCTATTTTTATTTACGTAATCTTCTGTGGACGTTACGCTAAAAACTATTTGGAAATTTATTTACACAACCTCACGAAACAGAAATGAGAAATTTAGCTGAAGTTACACAAGTGCCACCTTTGAAACACGAGCCACCAGCAATAAGTGTGTAGCTGAGGACGTTTGCTATTGCATCACCAATAATAATAATAATAATAATAATAATAATAATAATAATAATAATAATAATAATAATAATAATAAAAGGCATAAGTAGCCCAGCAAGCTTCTGCTGATGGCAGTTCTAGCCTAAACAAAACAGACAGTACTCAAGCTGAGCCCAAATCTCGCCTAGACAAACATGCATACATTTACAGACATGATTAATGTTGTGGTTCGAAAGTCAGATAGGCCGTGTGATATGTAGAAGCAACACATATCAAAATAGTGTATGCACCAACGTGGAAGCTTTCCCGCCCCAGCACCACGAACACTAGACTTACTTTTTTTGCTCTTTTTTTTTTGGATACACGTTAGTGTCGTGTGTTTCTTTTATTATAATGTTTTCTCCCTTGTCATATTTTTTTTAGCAGCAGTTACAGGGCTAGGCAGAGGTTAGCTGTTGCTCATAGCAGTGTAATTTTAACTGCATGGGTGACACCCAGTTGCCTTTGCAGACCGTTAAGGGCGAATTTAGGAAAGGGAGCTGTGGGAATTGGGGCTAGCCTGCCGTCAGTGCACGGGCCTTGCCGCCTCTTTTTGCATTCTTATGTCCTGACATAACTCTCCCCTCCTCGACGATCTATCGCGCTGGGTGAGCGAGAGTCAAAGTAACCCCTCTCATCCGGTAGCGGATATCGACTGTGGCGCCATGCGCAAAGTCTCTCGGGAAGTTTTGGGCGCGTCAGGAATGAGAAAGATCTCTCCGGGACGACATAGGGCGAGCACGCATTTCTTTTCGTCCGTCGGCTCCTATTGTTTGGGACTCATCAGAGTTCGCCAACGGCGCCTCGCGCGCGTGGCGAATGCTCACCTTTTGTTGCTCCTTTCGAATGCTAGGCTGAAGAGCGATGCGCAGTCTTTGCACGTGGTCATACTACACCGACCCAAATCTCTCAAAGCCGACGCGAGCGAACTTTTGCCCTCACTCGAGTGACCAGGCCCTGTTGTCCCGATGTCATCGTGAATCACTTTTGCCCACGGAGTTGGCTCGGGGCATCTTGTGTAGTAGGCCTCACCCATGACGTGGATAAGCAAATTTGCTTTCCGACCGCCCCTTTTGCAACAGGCTCTACATGTATACTGCATTTTGGTGTTTACGCAGGCAATAAGGTGCTGCCACTTTGAGAGCAGTACTGTGTTTTTGCCACACTGCGCTTGACGCCCGGCGCCATGGTTGTACAAACATGCGTGTGCAGCGGCGACGGATAACGCGGCCCTGAGGCTCTCTAAGACCGAGCCCACGCTAGTGGCCATACTTCTTCGGGATACGTGTACACTACACCTTAACTACTGTAACTTCAAAGCAAACTAACGGTGGAAGCACAAGAGGTACAAAGCGCCGAAATCCTGAGATAAGCGCATGCCCAGTAAAGCCACCACGCTATAAAAGATCTATACGCACTTTGGCCACGCCAAGTGGAGGCGCGTGCACACAGCAACGCGCGGGATGGCACGGCACGACGACCTTTAGAAGAAGCGCACCTAGCATGTGCCAATCGTGCTGTCTCGATACTGATGACGAAATTACGCTGAAGTTGACGAACTTCGAAGACTGCCAGCGGTACACGATGAATATAAACGACTCGCTGATCACATGTAGGAGAAGAGTCCCTTTGGTTAGCGTCGCACGTTCGCTGATTGGACGGCCCGCTGTAGGACTTCTCCGTCTCGTTTTGTTTTTTTGCAATCGGTTAGTAAATATTTTACGTCATATCCACAATGGAAATACGTCACGGAGCCGTGGTGGTCCCCGGCGTGAAACATTTTCATGTCTAAATTAAGAAAGTATGCAGGAGAATGCACCCAGTTAAGTGTATTGATTTGATTGATATGTGGGGTTTAACATCCCAAAACCACCATATGATTATGAGAGACGCCTTAGTGGAGGGCTCCGGAAATTTCAACCACCTGGGATTTTTTAACGTGCACCCAAATCTGAGCACACGGGCCTACAACATTTCCGCCTCCATCGGAAATGCGACCTGCGGGTCAGCAGCGGAGTACCTTAGCCAGTAGACCACCGCGACGGGGCACCCAGTTAAGTGTATGGAGATAGAGAATTAAGAAAATCATTGATGCTTACTTTCAATCAGTCAGTGAATACCTCCCGTATTTGGCTCAATTGAGAGTGGGTTGCCAACTCGTTGCAACCAGATTTTACCTATTAGCCTAAAATTTTTTTATTTTACCTAAAATGGGCATAGGATTTTACGCAGACTCAACCGCACGCTCCTCTCAAGTAAAATACGTGCCTTCAGAAATTACGATGGTTGGCAAGAACATCAATAAAATACTCAATACCTTAACTTGACAATTATGTTATCTGTAAGCTATGACACTCTTCAGCCATCTTTTTCTGTGGTTTACACAGTATATAGACCTTGCATGAAAGAAAAACAAAGTAAGCTAAAGATAACATACGATTACTCCTTTTGGTAAGCCATAACATACCTGGACTGTGAAGTCGGGCAACAAGGTGAAAGGGGTTCTAGTGCCTTGGAAAGTACCGGTGTCATAGGAAGTTCCGGTGTCTTAGGAAGCTCCGGCGTCTTTAGAAGGTACAGACTCTTGTGAATTTCTGGAGTCTCGGGTGGTTCCGGTGTTTTGGCAAGATGTCCTGATATCTTTGATCGATATCTTGAACTAGAGCCATCATCCAAACTCAAAGCCCTACGAAATACAAAAAAACAGGTGAAATTATTGGCAGAACTTATGTTTCCAAAACCACAATAAACTTTAGACAACCTTCATTTGCAACTGCTTTGAAACTATAGGTAGAAAAAACTTTTGATACATGAAAATGCTTGCCTATGATTAGCATATTAGAGCTGCACAAATGGCAAAATTTTGGATGCGAATCAAATTCGAATATTGAAGTATGAGTGTGTATTCAAATATTTCTATAATATTCTTTGAATCCTTGGAAGTGAAGTTGTAGAAGATTCCTAAGCATATTCTTATGAGATAGCAACATGAAAGTGTTTCTTTTCGCCAGGCTGATGAAGTTCTCGCAGGGTGGTGTTTCATAATTGTTCTATCAGGAATGAGGCAATGCAGAGGCCGAATTGCATTTAGGTACATGATTTGGCGAAGTAAAAGTGATGCCAATGACACTTTACCCGTGAAAGGCTAAGATGCTATTTCCTTAGCCTCTCCTTCTGTTTCGACTTCTCTGGTAGCCCAACTGACGTGGTGAACAAGGGTGTGTTCCCTTCAAGTCTATAGAGTCCCAAATATACTTCGTAGCTCTCAATATATAAAAACACCTAAAATTTGGATGATAAAAATCTTCACCATCTGATTTTTCAGACTTCCTGCCCAAAATTTTAGGTCCAAAACAGAATTAATTAAGCCCCCACCTCTACCACATCTATCATCTCCATGTAGAAACCAGGGCTTTCCTGATGAGAACCAGCGCATTCAGCATGGTATGGCCGATAGCACAGGGCTTTCCTGAGACAATGCATTTGCGACCGTAGCATGAAAGGCAGCTTTTCCCCAATACGACAATGATGAATGCATATTGAATTACCTGAAAAGGCCTCTTCCAATCAGACGTTGACAGTATTTGTCTCTGGGATGTTCGACTATAGCGAAGTTGCAAAGGCAACTTTGCCGCAATACGAGTGCGACGAGATTTCGTACAGTAAATAAAATTTACTCGAAATTGAAATACAAGTGATAAATTGCATGTGTTGAAGAAAAATACAGAAGGAGGTCTCAAAGTTGCAGGACTGTGAGTGCGACCTCCTAAAAAAACATAAATTCGAGATACAACGCAATATCATACAGTGGTAGAATACAAAATTAACAATATATAAATGTATAGATAAATACGAAATATCGAACATAAGATATACGGAATGTGTAGATAAACACATTTTATTCAGTATAATATCAAACATTACGGCGGTAAGGAAATTAAATTGAGATATGTAAAATACAGATAAGCACGATGTATACAAAAAATGCAGATAAACACAAAGGAACAAAAAAATTAAATAACATGTACACTGTGTAATATTAAAAAATTAAGCACTATGAATTTAGTAAGTGCAAACGCAAGCCTTTTTGAAACATTACAAGAGATCTACTTTTTATCTCCAAAGGTAAAGAATACCACAAAAATACACATGAAAATTTTACGGTAAATTTGCCATAATTGGTCCTGGGTTTGGGTAAAAGGAAATTATTAGCATATGCCAAACGAGTAGATGACACCTAAGAAAACTGACTTGAGTTTAGTAAAGAAATGGGAAGTTTTCCATTCACATATTTGTAGATAAGAATGCTGAGAAATTATTTGGCCAGCTTCTGAAACGATAAAATTCTATGTGCATAGAGTAAGGATGATGCATTGAACATGAAGCTACTGAACGTTATTATTCTCAATGCTCGGTTTTGAAGATGTTGGATGGGTGATAAATGAGTGGCATATGTATTTCCCCATGATGAAATGCAATAGATCATGTTGCTGTGAAAGAAAGCGTAGTAAAGTGACAACAACATCTTGAAACAAAAAAAGGGGTGAAATTTTATAGCAAGATTCAAATAGCATATGCAGCTTTCCACGTGGGCTGCAGAACATGTGAATTAAATTTTAAATGCTCAAGTTCGACCCCGAGAAACATTGTACTAGAGGTAAAGTGAATTTGAGTATCGCTTAGGTAAACAGAGGGGTTTCTAGGTATAATTCAATTAGATGATAAAAATACCACAAAGTTTCACTTTTTTAGATTTTATTTTCAGTTTATTCCTTTTGAACCATTCAAAACGATGTTCTTCAGGTCGGTGTTTAATTGAAACAGCATTGAGTCAACTTCCTTATCTGCAGTAAATACAGTCGTATCGTCCGCATAGAGAATGCAGGACGAATGAGCTAGGCCAGTGATTATCGGCCATGGATGTGTCGGGGACCCCTTGAGGACTGGTGGAAGTGATGAAGGTCCCATTGCAGCGGAGGGGAGGGAGGGAGAGGGTACGTCGGTAAATAACACAACTGGAGCATGAACACAACTGGAGCAACAGGTGCCTTTTATTGCTACCAAAAACATCGAACAGACCTGCCACATCACTTCATTTTGGACAGTTAATACATGGCACAGTCGTGCTTAAACAGAGTTGCATATCTGCAGGCACATTCAACCTGTTTCGGTATATACTTTGAGTCACGACCAGACTAAATCCCAAGAGATGTAAAAAAAAAAGCGGTTGACGGTTTCGCGGAGCTTAAAAGTAGCTTTGCGGACCCCCATTTGGGAACCACTGAGCTAGGCGATGAGGAAGATCATTGATGTAAATTAAAAATAAAAGCAGACCAAAAATTGAACCCTGCAGAGCACGCATGATGAATTTAGGGCTGGAAAAGGTGCCGGACACATATACAAACTGTTCTCGATCATGCAGATAGCTACGAATCAGTTATAGTGGGATGCCAGATACACCAATTGACTCTAGTTTCTGAAATAAAATGACGTGGCAAATAGAATTAAAAGCTTTTGAAAGGTCAAGAAAAACACCTCCAACAGCACAACCATTGTGAATAGCAAATTTCATTTCATCAATTAGGGATATCATAGAAAGATCAGTTGAGTAACTGGGCCTGAAATCAAACTGCTTATTAGAAAGAATATGAAACTGGTCCAAATAACACCTTAAACGTACCACAAAAAGCTTTTTTATGATGTTACTGAAGAATGAGATAACTGCTATGGGCCAGTAATTCAAGATTAAATGCTTGTCACTTTTTTTAAAGACAGGAACAACTTTTGCATATTTCAAGACTGTTGAAAAAATCTCAGTTTCAAATACAAGATTTATAATGCAACATAAGACATCACAAACTAAATGAGCTATCAGCTTCATGTCGGCAGCAGAGAACTTATAGAGACCAGCGCTTGTATTCCTAATGCTATTGATAACGGTGAACACTTTTTCGGGTGACGTCATATAAAAAATAAATGAATGAATGCAAAAGTTTATTTCAAATGTATTTTTTTTCCGGTGACGGTGGAGCTCTCAGTCCAGGGTCCCTGTGGCCTTTGCCATCTTGCAAGCTCTGTCGATCAGCTTGAGATCAGCTTGAGACCCAACTCTCAATGTCCGCAATCTGTTTGTCCTCACATTCTGCCCTAGTTTTTCTAAAAGCTTCCCAGTCTGTAAGTCTAGCCAGGCCATGTCGTTTCTTAATCGGGAGGGTTTCTATCTGGATACGCAAAATGCAGTGGTCACTGCCAAGCGTTTCCTCGCAGTTTTCCCATCGGGCCGCCCTGACCCCTTTAACGAAAGCCAAGTCCGGGTCCGTATCTTGATTGATACGATTCCCCACTCGTGTTGGTTAGGTGTGGTCAGTAATGAGGCTTAGCCTTCTGCGATCAGTTTCTCTGGCCAAATCCCTGCCTTTCTGAGTTTCCTTCACATATCCCCAGTTCTTGTGCCACGCATTAAAGTCTCCCAGGATGACAAGACCTTTTTTGCCTGCTGCTTGTTCTGCCTTGCGCAGAAGGGAGCTGAAGTTGGCTTTACGCTGGATGGGTGGGCTGTAGACAATGAGGAGAAATGTGCTTTCGTGGGTTCTTTTTTCGTTATGATTTCAATGAGAACATGGTCAATGTCTGTTACATCGATGTCATGTCTAATTGCAGTGGCCGCTTTGGCAACCAGAGTAGCGACCTTACTTTGGCCTGGTCCCTCATAGACTGAAAAGCCAGCGAGTTTCGGTGAGCAGCCGGTTTCCTGGAGGGCGATGATGCCTGGTGGAGTTGTGCATTTATTGATGTGTTGATTCAGCAGACCTTGCTTTCAACGGATTCCACAACAGTTCTACTGCCCTATTTCGAGGGTTTCCAACTTGACCGAGCATTTACGGCTGCTCCCATACTCAGGTGATGGCCAAACACAGGGTTTGCCTCTAGATTTCATGGCCATGAGTTGCGCCATACATTCTCTATCCTTGTGCGCCTCATTTTGCATGTTAGAGATGAGGTTGCTGAGATTTGCTACGGCATTTTTCGTGGATAGTAGTTGTGAATTCCTGCCACCCTACGGTAGCTGCAAGAGTTAAGTCTGTTTGGGGGTTAGCATTGGTCTGTCCTGTTCTCAGGGTCTTCAGTTCATCTATGAGATCGTTTAGTTTCTGCCGGAGTTTGGCGTTTCCTGCCCGGGTGTCTGAATAGTCTGCCTCAACTCCTTTCCTTCATCGTTAGGTGGCGCACTGCCGTTCTTATCGACCAATACTGTCTCTGTATTCGTGTTCTTTGGAGCAGTGGAAGAGGCAGAGAAAAAAAGGCGCTTTCCTGATCACCGTACCATCGTCTTCCTTCCTGATGATGGGCTTCTTCTGCTGCTGCTTTTTCTTGGTTTCTGGGGCCTGGCCGGCCCTGGACGCCGATCTCGACCATGACCGTGGTTTTGATGTTGATCGGGATGTGGATGGTGAGCTGCCATCTCTGCTGAACCAACCTTTGCGGGCCCGGCCGCGTCCATCGAAGCCTTGTGCTCAAGCGGCCATCTGCTCTTTTGTTCTTGGTCGTGGGCTTCTCAGTCCCCTGAGGCGTTCCTTGCTCTCCTTTGCCCGCGCAGGGTGCGCTTCCTTGCATAGAGCACACCGGGGCTAGCAGGTGTGTCCGTCCTCTATGACTGGCTCGGTGCAATTCGAGCAGACAACTGCG